ATCAGATGGTAATAATGTGCAATGGATTTAGCTTCAGTAGAAAAAAACTTACAGGGCTGTCTGAGATACACAGATATGGAGGGAAAAAACACCTTAGCCACTTTAGAAAATTCTAAGCCATTAACCTTACACAGTATTGTAAAGCAAGGAAACTTTCATTTCTTTTTAAAGTCCTTATAAGTGAGTACATTTTCTCAGTATACATTTCTCAGTAACCCCTCATTCTTTTTTTCCTTGACATACTCTGAATCGTCTACTTTTCCAGTTACTGGTCCCAAACTGGTGCTGCTGGTACCAATTTGGTTGCCAAGAAAGTATTCCCCGGCAGCTACCTACCTCATGACGCCCAGCTGTGGTCACACTGACTAGCCTGTTCACACTATTACAGAGTATATTTTTTTTTTTTAAAGAAAACAGTGGATTCATCAAAGCATAAAACTAGATCACATTTTAAATATTTCAAGTGAAGATAATTAGTTGATCTGAATTTGATCAGAGCATTCTTCCTGCTATTTATTGACTTCATAGGAAACTCTACCCTGGTGAGGTGTCCTGAGTAGAGAGAGAACAGGGTTAAATAGAAATCCAAGCCTACCAGTTCAGATACATTAATTTAAGACAACAGAATACTTTTTTATTTTGTTCCTATCAGCCATACCTTTGTATTAATTCATTCTTAATGAGGACTTGGTAAATCCAGAGTAGATTTTTAACCTGATAGAGAAATCCCATCTCATTGCCTGACAGTCCATCCTGAGCACATGGGGTCACAGGTAGATCAAGCCTGTCATCCTGCCGTTTACTCAGTGGTTCCCAAGTCTGGACCCACCCGGGCAGCATCAGTATTGTTCTGGATCCTTGCTAGAATTGGAAATTCTCATTCCCCACCCAAACCGTACTGAATGAAATTCTCAGTGTTTTACCCTCCGGTTATTCTGATGCTTGCCAAGTTTGAGGGACACTTAGGTGACTCAACCTGTGTATAGTCCATCTCACTGTCTGACACTTTCCTAATGGAACAGCTAAGTTCTAGAGGTTATGAAATTCTAAATAGGATCCAGTAGATAAGTGAAAGGATATATCTGCCATTATTTTGCCTTTTCATCTTCATAGTTAGGAGGCTTTCAAAATAAAGTTATTATTCACTTCACCTGAAATAAAAAGTGAAACCCTGCAATTTTGTTATTTAGCCATCAGATGGTAATAATGTGCAATGGATTTAGCTTCAGTAGAAAAAAACTTACAGGGCTGTCTGAGATACACAGATATGGAGGGAAAAAACACCTTAGCCACTTTAGAAAATTCTAAGCCATTAACCTTACACAGTATTGTAAAGCAAGGAAACTTTCATTTCTTTTTAAAGTCCTTATAAGTGAGTACATTTTCTCAGTATACATTTCTCAGTAACCCCTCATTCTTTTTTTCCTTGACATACTCTGAATCGTCTACTTTTCCAGTTACTGGTCCCAAACTGGTGCTGCTGGTACCAATTTGGTTGCCAAGAAAGTATTTCCCTGCAGCTACCTACCTCATGACGCCCAGCTGTGGCCACACTGACTAGCCTGTTCACACTAATTAAATGGAATAAGCCAAGTGTCTCTCTCTCCCGTCTCATAAGCTGGAAAGATTTTTTGACCATCCTTCTGCTTCCTTCTTGTCTCTCAAAGTGGAGCAAATGTGGGGCAGGAAATAGCCTCCCATAGTTAGGAGTGATGCTGCTGAGGCCAGAAGGCTTTGATGCTTTACTTCTTGTAAAACAAAACTATTGTGAGTTTTCTTTTCCCTCCTTTCCCCCATCGTGTATTATTTCTCTCTTGTAAAGTCATCTACTTAGAACCATGTGGGAACTTCAGAGACTCAAAGAGTCTTCAGACATTTTTTTCTCCCAGGACATGTATCTTATACAGTATTATTAAGCGGAATACATCCAACATTTTAGCAAAAATTTGTATCTACCATGGTGCATATATTTTTAGTAACATAGCTTTGTAGCAATTTTTAGCAAATGGCTGTTTCCCTTCTCCTTGTTACAAGGAAAGGAACTACCTGTGCCCCTCATTTCTGAGCTGCTTGTCCAAGAGCACAATTTGAACAATGAAAGTCAGGCAAACTGTTGATATTAAAGAGACTATATGGGTGGTAGGTAAGGGAGAGAAAACCTGGACATCCTTGTGCTTTCTTGCAGTTGTCACTTATTGGAAGGCATGTGATCAATGGGTACTCAGATTGCATAGATGACTTCAAGCATTTTTAAAAAAATGCAAACTTGCAATTCTAGTCTGAATTGTTAGTAAGTTAAGGTAAAACTTTCCTCCTGGTATGGTTTTTATGGCAAATGTTATATGTGGGTGAAAATGTGTTCTTGAGAAGGAAAAATTAATTTATCCTTTCTTCTCTCCCTCCCCTCTCCTTCCACTCCCTCTTTCCCAAATCTTGACTTAAATCTACCATAGGCATATCAAGGGGTGTAGGGTTTATTCGATTTGACAAGCGGATTGAGGCAGAAGAAGCTATCAAAGGCCTAAATGGCCAGAAACCTCCTGGTGCCACAGAGCCAATCACTGTAAAGTTTGCTAATAATCCAAGCCAAAACCCCAATCAGGCCATCCTTTCCCAGCTGTACCAGTCTCCAAACAGAAGGTACCCGGGACCGCTAGCTCAGCAGGCACAGCGTTTTAGGTAAGTCTGGTATAGTTCTCGTGCCCAGCTACTGAAATGAAAGAGAACACTCAGGTTTATTGTCCACAACTTTTATTGACAGGATCTCTGCTTTGCTTTTACTAGTAGTATTGTTTTCTTTTTCTCATGGGCACAGATAGAACCTGCTTGGGCAGAAGTATCTTTTGCTAATATTGAAGGCGGGGACAAAAGGATAATAGCCCAGGGCAGTAGTTTTCAATGGGTGATTCTGTCCCCCAGGGGTCATTTGACAACGTATGGAGGCATTTGTGTTGGTCTTGCTGGTGCAAGGAGTTGCATACTGGCATCTAGTGGGTAGAGGTAGGGTTGCTGATAGACATCCCACAATGTCTGGGACAGCCCTTGAGAACAACCAAAAATTATCAGGCTGCCAAAACATTGGCAGTGCCATGTGTGAGAAATCCTAACCTCTACAGTGCTGGACTCTAACTGATTCCAGTGCTTGCAGTTTTCTTTTTTAGTTTTTTTCCTAGAAAAGATTTTATTCTTGTGTTTCAATTTTTTAGGTTAAGATCTTTTAGTTGCTTTTCTTTTAATAGGAGGGGTCTGCAACTAGTTCATGGGAAAATGGATTTTATGAAAAAACCATGGATTTCAAAACTTTTTGCACCAAAACAAGCTTTCATTTCAATTCTGTTTTACACACATTTTTTTCAAGTCCCCTTATATGTATACCATTAAAAATATATGATCTGTTTGTAATACTATGTTTCTGTAAGTGAATATGTTTCTACAAATGGCTTCCTTTTTATTGTTAGGTATATTTTATATTATTTCTTGTAGTTTACAGGTTGGCATACCTTCTCTGTAAAGGGCCAAATAGTATATATTTTAGGCTTTGTGGATCATGGTCTCCATGATGTGGCCTTTTAAAATCAACCCTTCAAAAACATACAAGGCAATTTTAGCTCCTAGACCATACAGCAACAGGTGGCAGACAGTCTGGACTTGGCCCGTGGGTGGTGGTTTGCTGATCTCTGTCCATGGAATGACCATGTGGCTTTAGCGCAAAGAAGACACCCTCCTTCACAGGCAAAAATATTACCATTTCTTAAGTTTTGTTTTGATCCTGGGTTAACAAGAAGATCTAGAGTCATTAAAAAATATTTCTGCTCTGAATGTGAGAACAGTGACTGTAAGAAGTTACACAGAACATAAAGAATTTCATAAGCAAGTCACTCAGTTTTTATTTTCCAGGCCATTTTTAAATATCCTTTTTGGCCATATGGTGCACTGTAGCTATACTGCCATCTCACCCCCACACTAATTTTTTTTTTAAATTATAAATACATACCAGTTTTATTTTTTTTCTTCCTGAGATAGAGTAGTTACCAAATATATAATCACAAACATAACAAAGTAAGAGTGAAGAGTTAAATGTTTTCCGGTTAAAATCACATGCATTTTTTTCCATTGAGGCATTTAGAATGATGGAGAGAGGGGAGAGAAAAATCAGCCAAAATGCCTCCTTTAAACAAATTCTTAAGTTGCATTATTTGATATTTGAGAAGGAAATTGGCCATCAGCACCACATTGAAGTTCTTCAGTTGACTTCTGCCCTCAGAGTCTCTAAGAGTTGATATTGTCAGAGGCTACATTTGAACTGGGTGACTGTGTACCCAGTTAAATTAGACTTGTACTTCACATTCTGCTGTAACTTTGGGGGAAAAAAGCGTCAGTAGAAAAGAAACTTTGCCACCTTAACTTTGGTGTCTGGTCATGGTGGTCAGACTTGGGTCAGAGATGCATGGATTGCTTGATACTTGCACCTGTGCACAAAGACCCCTCACAAAGCCATTTTTAGAGCTCTGCCTATAGGTTTTCTCTATGGCATCTTTTTAAAGGGAATAATATTTTTGTGTGTGTTCAAATTTAGGACAGACAAGCCTGGAGGAATCTTACAAGTGTTTCCTAGGCAGCTTGTTCAGCGCATTGAGAGCTCATGGAGGCCTGGAAAATAATTTTGAGTTTAGGGGAGAAAACAGTTGTTCTTTCACATTTACTGTTGCCTTTGTAGCACTGTAAAGATATAAAATATTTGGTGTTTACAGGAAAGCTATATTATTTTAAACAGTTACTTTTGCTTTTTTTTTGTTATGAACTGTGTAGGTGTATTCAAGGTATTCAGCAAAATGAAATCCTTAGAATCATTACTGAAGAAAATTAGGCAAGAGCACTAAAAGACAGGATTCAGGAGAGTGCCTGAAATGGCAGAGACCATAAGGGACAAATATGTGAGCTTGTTGCTGACTGCAGTGTGTACTCTCCCTCTCACCACACTCCTCTCTTCCCATGCTCTGTGCTTTTTATTGTTTGTGGGGTAAAACTTCACAGGATATTTTGATGGCCATATTTAATATCTTCTGAAAAAGTCATCGACTCACTTTGTGTTTTTCTTTTCATACCATATGTTATCATTAACTGGGAAATTCTTCATTTCCTGGACTCCTATAGAAAGAAATTTTGGAAAAGAAGATTGGGTTAGTTTTAAGAAAATTCGGGTTTCAGAAAATGGGAGAAATTGTTATTCTCCCTTAAGATACTCAACTATTGTCTTCTTCACCCCACTTACTATATCTCCCACATTCTCTGTTGAGATAATGACCCATGAACAAACTAGCCAGTGTGCTTGGTGTAGGTGTCTGATCTGACTAGGGTGTTAGAAATTGTTCTTGGAGTTCAGGTTTTACTGATGTGTGTTGACCGCCAAGTTAAAGAAAAACACCTTTTTCTCCATGAAGGTTGAACTTTTTTTTTTTTTTTTTTTTGCCTCTTATAAAGACTTTTGAATTAAGGACTCCTTTATTTTATTGCTACTTTTCTCCCTTCTCTAGTTAAGTTCTAAATTTTTTACATGAATATTGTGTCCCTAATACTTGTGTTTTAATGCTTTTGCTAGCAGAGGTTTAGAAACCTTCTCGGTGTATATATTTATGCTTTCATAATACCTTGGAGTTTAAGAGAGATTGGAGAATATAAATTATAAGTATTATGACCATAATGTAGGATACTATTAAGTATTTTTTGCAGTGCAGCCTATCTTTTAAGGTTAAAAAAATTAAGATCTGTGAAATAGGGTTAAATTTGAAAGGGGTTTTTGAGGTTTATTGCTCATCCAACCCATGTGAATAAGTAGAGAATTATTTTAACAAGAATGCTCCTGATCTATTAGGCTTATTTAATTGAGTGCAGTTTTCAAAATAAGACAGGCCTTATTTATTTGGATAGATAGTGTAATTCAGGCCTCTTAAGTATATTCTTGGGATATGATGTCTGTATTAAGCTTTATGCCAAATTTTTCATGTTCTTTTCTTGTGGTGCAGTTGTAATTTTATTGAATGTGATCTAGTCTAATGGCCTGTGTGCCTGCTTCTCTGAGCCTTTATGCATTTTTAAAGGAGCCTTTTAAATCGGCACTTGAGTCACATTTAAGGCGTATGCTGGTTGCATTATCACAATTTCCTTCTGGAAGAAACTGGTATCAATAGTCTCGAACACTTTTCTTCTTTCTTAAAGGACACAAGATACTATCTAAGTGGATAAAGGGATAAGTTGATGACTTTGTTGTGGATAACATCCAAACAGGTCTTAGTTGACTATTTGGAGAGATTTTGATAACCTTTATATTGTAGACCCTGGGGTTTTATTTTGTTACCCATTGGGTAACCTCTTTTCATATTTTTATTTGACTAGTTGGTTTCACATTTCACCCTTGACTTGTAGTCTGTCAGCTAAGTTTCTTGAAAATTAGGTATCTTATTTTTATTCTCTTACTTATATGGCTTGAAAATTAGGAGGTATCTTATTTTTATTCTCTTACTTATATGTGGTTCTGTTGAAATACTGGGTCTTCAGAAAAATCATGATGCATTTTTGCAAAAAAAAAAAAAATCCAGAAAAATAACATCATGATCTTTCTGACGACCCAGCATTTCCTAGTTAAAATCTGAGTTGTATTCCAACTGCTAGAAAAATGTTTGTACACGTAACCCTATTTGTTTCATAAGACATATACAAATTTGCTTGTGCTATTATATTCATAACTTATGAACCACTAATCAACCACTGGAAAGAAAGATAGGATATAGATGAAATAACTAATATATGAACTGTCTTGTAAATTACCATGTGGGCCAGCTTCATATTTCATTTATCTAATAAATAGTGAATCTTTCAAGGTAGGGCTCCTAAAATAACATGGATAATTTTGAAACCCCTAAAGAATACGGATAATTTTGAAGTTCCTGTCTGACTTCATTCAAGACATGTTGGTATAAAATGTGTCTTGAACAAGGAGAAGGGAAAATAATTGGTCTCCTTTTCCTTATTTGCTTGGATTTCCCTTACTGGTGTCATCTTCAACTTTAGTATATGATTGATAGATAAGTAGTTTATCTTTATTATATATAGTCAATATATATGATAAACTATCAATCAATCATATATATACATATAAAATCATATATAATTTTTTGGTAGGAATCTTTTTTAAGCTTTTTTTTTAACAATGAAGTCTATTTTAATTAAAGCTAGGTTATCTACTATAATTATAGTTCTGTAAATCCACTTAGTGTATCATTTGTAAAAATAGAGTCTGAACTGAACAGGTCAGAGTACCAATGGCCACCTCTCCTTTTGAGGACTGCTCAGTCTCCTTTGGTAAGCTTACGGTGCTTAGTCCTGGGAGTCTATGAGAATATTGGATGCAGTGTATATTAAATATAAGTAATGAATACTCTTTTTTATTTTAAAAATTAATTGCCAAAGAATACATGTGCTTACTAGAGAGAGATAAAGAGGGAGAGGGAAACCTCCCCCACCCCCCATGGGAAATGGTCACACCACAATTCCCTTCTTCTTCACATCTCTGTCCTGTTGGGATTTGGGGGCATGCATGCACACATGCCCATTGTTTTTTTCATGCTGACAGGATCAGGATTCCAGCTGCAGTTGGGAGATCTTGCTCCTGTAACCACTAGGCTATGGGGGCAGCCAAAGAATACTTTATTTTAAAATATTAAACATATACATTTAATGGACGCTTTTTAAAAATCTTTTTTTCCCTTTCTTTTATGAGAGAGTGCATTCAAGAGAGAGAGAAGCACTCTCAGCAGGGCCCCATCTTGCCACTCCCTACCTCCCCAGCCCTCTAGTCAGGCATGTTCTTAGGCTTGTGTACCTGGTATGTTTCAGGTTAACTTGAGATCTAAACTTGCTGTCGGCCATGTGGCTTCTAGTGGTACAAATCAGTGTGCTACCACTTGTGCCCCTACAGATGGACCTTAGTGGGCACTTCGGTAATTTCCCATTGTGTAGTATATGATGCACATACCTCCAAGTTATTCTAGAGTCTACTACCTTGAATTCTGTTTGAATATTGACTTCCATTTTAAGATGATCCTATATAAAAGATGTTCTTGAGCTATAGACAGGTCCAACAAAGATGTTATTCTAGAGAGTAACAGTTGTCCTGTGTCCAAGACATGGCACCATTTACTCTTGTAATTACCTAGTTTCCAGTTTGCCAATTGCTATTTGATTTGGAGTGCCTGGTACCTATTTAGGGCACTCACTGCCTTCTCTGAACTCCCATGAAAAATGTGAATACATGGCACGGAGAAAGGAAATCTTCTGGGCTCTGCTACTTACAGGCAGTGGGTGGATTTAGCAGGGCCAGGGCTTTGAGCCCTACTAGGTCTGATGCTTCTGCCTCTTCTCCCTGGTGATAGGGGAGGAGAAAGAGGGTAAATAACTTGGCTTAAATTCCAAAGGACCAAATATTTTTCTTTCCTTTTTATTTATCTATTTATTTTGAGAGGTGTTTTGCTATAAGGCATGTGCACTCACCAGAAAGACAAAGAGAGACAGAGAGACAGAAAGCAAGAAATCACCCCCCCAGGGGGGGATGGGCATGCCACATTCCCTTCTTCTCCATGCTCCTCTCAGGATCTTGGGCATGCACGCACATGCGCCTGGCATGAGTTTAAGCCACCATGTCTGGGACTTGAACCGTGGTTGACTACATGGGAGTCCAGCGACATAGCCATTATGCCAGCTGCTGGTCGCAGGACCAAATATTTCTAAATGGGAGATGAGAGAAGAAATCAGCGAAGAGTGAGTTTATCTTATAGGTCTTAACAGGTAAAGCAAATATGAGTCCTATTGAGAGTGTCCTTAGAAATTCTTATATAAAAGTCCTTAGAACTTCCTGGAGATGCCAGGGATGGAAAGGAGTAGGTGATGATGGACGTTAAAAATGAGATGTATCTTCAACGCATGTAATTCAGTTTGGGCTCAGGTTTGGTTTTTACCCTGTCTTGAAAATATCAGAAACTTGTGTAAGAAATTCTGTGTCTGGTCTTGACTTTTAGTTGCTCCTAAGTGGGTGATAGCAAAGCATGATAGTGCCTACCTGGACACAGTCAATGGGCCTAGGTGATGTTGCACTGTTTTGATTGGATAAGGGGCCACTGCATTTAGGGCCTTTCAGCACTTTGGACAGAGACTCCAATATGCCCTTCTGTTCTACAGGTGTCATATGCTAAATGCAATTCTGTATTGATCACTCCTGCAATTTTTTGAAATTTTCTCTACCAGTTATTTTATGATTGATGATACCAATTTTTGTTCATTTTTAGTTCTGGTATTTGTGATTTTTATTCTTGAGTACAAATGCATGACATCTTTGACTGTACTCTTCACCTCCGCAAAAAACCAAGCCCTTCTTCCTAGGTACACTTTTTACACATGTGCTTTTTCCCTTGCATGTGTAAACAGGCTACCCTACTTTCCACCCAATATTTTAATTCTAGACTAAGTAGTTGATGATAATTTCGGTATTTATTTAATTATCAGGTACTTATTATAAACCTGCAGTGATCAGGCCTGTGCTCTGTGTTCAGTGGTCCAATGACACACCACACACAGAAGAGTCTTTGTCATTGTGATTCGTTCTGTTTCCTTACATTTTGTGTTACATCAGCTCAGTTCTTCTTCCTCTTCCTTCTCCTTCCACCTCCTGTATTCTCCTTCCTCCTTCTTCCTTTTTTTTAACACACACCTACACAACTTCCAGTGGAAATTTGGAGTAGGGATGTACAGAGCCAGTTTTCATTTTCCAGTTCTGAAAGACTAGATGAGATATGTTCTGGCTTTTTATAAAACTCAAAGGAATTGCTTTTTTGGAGTACTCTAGCCTGAGTTGATGCCAAAGTAGAGACTTTTTTCAAACATACCTTTTACAGATGTTAAAAGAAAGTACAGAAATATTGTGTTACCCCTGACCCAGGGTCTTTTTTGGACACTGGTGAAAATTATGGCAGTTGAAGATGGTTATACTAGCTAACAAGTTATGGCCACTTTCTCAAAACAAATGCAGTGAATTGTTAAGCACTGTGGAAATTTAGAAAATCAGAATGGTCTTTCAGAAACTGATAAAGCAAGCAGAATTAAAACTATAACAAATGTTTGAAATAGGAACTAGAGGGTGGAAAGTTTTAAAGTGTACCTATCCACCCCAGTCATGTTCTTGTAAACATTTTCAGAAAAGCAAGCCTACTGAGGCCTAGTGGTGAAGGCAGCCAGGTTCCACATGACTGACTTCCTGGTTCGAGTCCCAGCCTGGCAGCTTAGGAAACAAGTGCTCACATCAACATGTGCTTGGAATCATGAAAGAAGGGAGAAGTGGAGGAGAAGGAATTCTGGCGTGACCATTCCCTTTCAGGATGCTCTCTCCCTCTCCTTTGCTCTCTGTTTTTCTCTGGCAAATACACATGTCCCCTGGAAAAAAAAAGAAAAGTAAATCAGAAAAGCTTAAGTTAGCTTGTTTATGTCCTACTTTGTTTAAAACTATGTAGGGTTACACTTCCAGTAGTGTAGTCAAAGTAAGCATCAGGCTTAGGTTATGAACTCCTAGCTTTGTTGCTCACTAGAGTCATGAGTCCTCTGTTTTCCTTCACTGGAACTCAAACCAGGCACATCTGAGAGATGAAAGGATTAACCAAGGTTGCCTATGAGTTCTGTAATTATAACTTTGATCTTAAGAGATGAGTGTTGCTTCAAAGTTGGAAGATTAAAGAGAAATTTACAGAATTCGATAAACTGCAGAGTTTGAGAATCAGTGCCACCATTTGCTAGCCATGTGGCCACTTACTATCTGTGTGCCTTAGGATCCCTGAGAGTCAGTGGAGTCATGAAAATTAAAAGTAGAATAAGCTGCATGGAGGTACACGTGGAGCACGTAAGAATCTAAACATTAACCATTCTGGAGCCTCCACAGTTCCTCTCTGAATGATTTCCTCGGAATAACACCACCATTCCCTGAGTACACCCCTTACAGAAATAAACCATGTCTATCAGAAGAGCTAGCATTCCATGGCAGTGGGTGCCCATTCTCTCAGGACTGTGAAAAGACCCAGTGTTATGAGGCATCACATATCCAATCATCGTATAAATATCCCCTTGGAAGATGGCAGTAACGAGCCCAGCTTTCTTGAACATAAAGGGGAAAAATTAAACACTGAAGTTTGCTAAATGTGTGTTTTGCAGGTTGGACAATCTGCTCAATATGGCTTATGGAGTAAAGAGGTAATGATAGAGGTTCATGATACTCATAATCCCTTCCCACAACTGATTAGTTTCTTTGATTTGGGGAGCGATATTTCCACCCCTCATAAGTTTGTGTTGGGTTTTATTTTGCATGTGTAATTGAATGAAAAGCTGCTTTTGGAAGCACGATTGTCTCAAGCGATATTTTTGTGCCACCGGATGCCACCTGGTCTTTAAAAAACCCATCATTTGTTTCATATTGTGTTGCGACGTTGTAGCATGTTTACCTCTGTGTTGGTTTCCCCCTCCTGCCAGTCTCACGTAATTCCTGATGCCAGTTCTAAGTGTTTTTCTTTGTTACTGTGGATAATATTATTTAGCACAGCAAATAATGGTCATTTCATAACTTATTAATACCTTCAAAGTATAGCATGTCACACACAAACCTTGGCGGAAGCATCATGTAGCTGGATGTGTCTGTTGGGGGAAGGGAGTTACTAAATTCTTGGGGATGAAAAGGGAAAAGAAATAATGTCCACTGCTGTAACCAACTTTTTTTTTTCCTGTTTTGTATGTGTGTTTGTGTTTTCTATTTTGTTTAGTAGGTTTTCTCCAATGACCATTGATGGAATGACCAGTTTGGCTGGGATTAATATTCCTGGGCACCCTGGAACAGGGTGGTGTATATTTGTATACAACCTGGCTCCTGATGCAGATGAGAGTATCCTGTGGCAAATGTTTGGGCCTTTTGGAGCTGTCACCAACGTGAAGGTCATCCGTGACTTTAACACCAATAAATGCAAAGGTTTTGGATTTGTGACTATGACAAACTATGATGAGGCTGCCATGGCGATAGCTAGCCTCAATGGATATCGCCTGGGAGACAGAGTACTGCAGGTCTCCTTTAAGACAAACAAAACGCACAAAGCCTAATGAGCTCTTGTCCTCAGTCCATTTATATATGAAAACTATACAACAAAGGCAAGTTAAGAGAAACTTTATACATTAGTAAATGTCTTTGTAAGTCAGTGTTGAGATGGGGATAAAAACGACTACTTAGCATCCTAAGAAATATGTGAGATTTTTTATTGCTAGTATTTGAATTAAAACTTCTTAAATATCTTTTATGTTTGAATATGGACAAGAGGTACAGGGTTTTTACCTGTCACATTGCATTCTATTGCCTTCTTTGAAGAAGGTGGACCTTTTAAAGTGTTTCAGCTAAGGGAAGACATTTCTTTTCTTTTTACATAACTGCCTTGAACCTGTGAGTAAATATTGAGGCTTTGTGTTGTAATTCTTCAGTTGGTTGGTTGTGTCTTTTTTTTCCCCCCTTTTTTTCCTTTTTCTGATTAGCTTTGTGTTTGGTTTACATTTAAAGCACTGCTGTTATGTCTGTTTAAGAAAAGTATTTTGAAGTTTACATTTTTATTTATGAAGTTAAAACAGTATTTATTTTGTAATTATGATTTGGGTTGGGGAAGGGGGGGGCTACATTATAAACGCTTATTGTAAGAATACTGGAGAACTTTTCGTAAAGCAGTACCTTGCCAAAGAGATAAGAGCCTCTTTGATGTGGGTTTAAAAAAAGCATCTATTTTTATAAAAAAGAAAATTTGGAGAAACTTTTTACTGGTCCTGGAACAAATATTTTGACTTGAATACTTTGAGAAATCTCTTCATATGACACCTAGTGAGCTTTTAAAATTTACCAGGAAATTTGCAGTGGTTGGAAATTTAGAAAGATTTATGATGTAGAAAATACTTTTGAGATCTTTGTATGAAAGGAATAGAATCAATGGGGGAAACACTGCTGGTTTCGTTTTTGTAATCACCAGTGGAGCGTCTGATCATCCTGGTTATTATGTGATAGGTGGCTCACATTGATTTGTGATTTTGAAACAAATAAAAAAAAATTTACAAAAGAATATATAAGAGCAGGCAAGAAATTTAAACTACCAAGAGATGGGGGAAAAATCTGTTCTTCCTAAAGAAATCCCTTCAGATAGAGCTCATGGTGTTTAGTGATGTACTTGCAGTATTGTTTGAAGAATTGTTTTGTCTTAAGGAAAAAAAGACGTTGCACATGATTTGTACTGCAGCAAATCGGCAAAAGTGACCTGAGTTGGATATATTTGAAGGTATTTTGAAAGTTATGTTCAAGGCTAACACCTGAGCTTTGTGTAATGTAAATAAGACCTTGTGTTTATGAACCTTTCAGCTAATTTGATTTTTTTTCCCTTACATGCCAAGTGATGTTCAGGTTTTGAATGTTTTTGTATCAGTTTTTTCCTTTGTAAATGGCATTAACATTGTTACTTGAGGTCTTGCTTAATCACTTTTGTTGTCCTGAGGACTTGAATTTACAGTGCATCAGATTTGTTGCTAATTTTGTCTGTAGATAGTCTAGCTTCAGCTGTTTATGGTGATGCTACATTTTCGTTTATAAATATGTTTGTGGTAAAAAAAAATGAGTATAACCATAGGTTTTGAACAAATTTCCTTACATTTTTCATACAAAATCATAAATATCTGTATGCTATTGAAATTTAACTTTGTATGATGCTTAAACCACTATTTGGGGAAATAATTAAATAAGTCTTTACCATGTATGAAAGAAATTTTAAAAAATACAAAATATTTTCTGATTAGCATCTAGCTTATAATAAATTTTCAAAAAAGCTGAAGGCAAAAATGTCTTCATCAGGATGCACTGAGAACTATATAGTTACGTCCTGCTTTTTGTATAAACTGAGATGCTCACGTGCTTCCCCTTAGAACAGGCAATGTGCTATGCATAACATAGTTGTACATTATCTTTGCGGTTGCTTTGAGTTTTATTTTTTATTATTTAAAATTGTAGTTATAAAATTTTTCAGTATAGTACAGTACATATACTGTGAGGCGCGTGCTAAAGTGAATAAGCGAGTTTTCATGCTGACCCACTCAATGCTATTCAGAAATCAATTGGCTTAGCACTTTCTCATATCCTTAGGTGCATTTAGATTGTCAGAGTTAACCTTCTGCGTTTAAAAAAAAAAAAACTAAAAAATAAAATACATGTATATACTTTACAAAAAAAAAATAATAAAGTTTTTCCCTCGTGGGAAAACAGCAGCTACATGCTTCTTTCCTATACTACTGTAGCAAACCGAGGCATTGATGAGAGGGCATGCAAATTGTGCTTCACTTTACAGTGTTTATCAGAGCACTTAATAAAATGTAAGGCTGGTATTTATTTGAAGTTGTACAGTATGACTTAATTCACATCTGTTGGAATAGAAAATATATTCTGTTGAGTATTTAAGAGGCTGTACATGTTTTCTTTTGTGTTTGGATTCTTTGTACTTTTTCATGTTCAGTACATCAATAAACAAAGTTGAAGGGAAAGAACAGTCTGGTGAGTAGGTCTTTATACACATTTTGGGGGTTCCTTTGCTCAGTCTAATAAACAAAATTGCTCTCTTGAATTAAAAGAGGTTCCCTCAGAGCTTTAATTGAAAACTTTTCGAAAATTAAGAATTCCAAAGGACAAGTTAATTGAAGTTGAAAATACCCCAAATACTTTTGACTGAGTGACACCTTTTCATAGTCTACAAATATAATTAGATGAGTTTTTGCAGGAGCACATGCTTACTTGGCCATCTGAAAAATTTTGTAACTCTTGTGCTGACATCATTCTGTAGCTTTGGCTTAGCCTTCAGCCTTGTGCACAAATGGGATTTGCCCTCACATTTACCTGAGCTAAAGGGAAAAAAAAAAAAAAACAATAAAGGAAAAGTAACATGTGCTCCTTTCACTGACAACATTTAATTCACTCATGGGATTAAGTATTGGTGCGTGAAACTTATTTTCCTTGCACACATGCTACATTGTCAGGAGATTCTTCTCTAAAATCAGAAGTTCACTTTTTGCTAGGTTAAGGTTAGTGTGTAGTACATGTGTATAAATCCTGAATGTACCGATTCTATGTTTCACATACATGTACAGTTCTTAGAACACATTCTTCTTTTTAAAGAATTATTTTATTTGACATTATTATTATTATTATTGATTTGACCGGAGAGAGACAGAGAGAAGGATAATGAGAAAGCAAGCCGCCAGGTCTGAGACTCAAACTGCAGTTGGCCATGTGGGAGTCCAGTGCCCCTAACAACACCACCACCTGTTGGCCCTTGTAACGCATTCTTAACAGATCTGTGGAGGAAGAAAAAAAAAATCCCTTGCTAGTTTCCTTAATGTAAGAATTGATTTCTACTTCTATAGAATGTAAGAAAGTTGAATTTATTAATGAAGATACCTTTTTAAAAACAACGTATGCTAAATCACTTCTTTTAATTTGATTGTATCTGTCAGCTTTTTTTGGTAGAAGCCCTTCTTAAAGTAATTGTCCTAAATTCACAACCTAGTTGTCATAAGTATGGTTGAGTGACAAGACTCTTCTGCTTCTTTCAACCTGTAATTAATCTCAAATCTCTGTACTCCCTATTTTATTATAGGCACTTAATACTCTAATTTTATGACATTGGCACATCCTACCCTCACCGATCTCTTCTGGTATGCTATATCAGTATTTTGACTGCTTTGCATGTCAGCAGTTCTTTTATATTTTAGCAGACAGTGGAAAAATTCTCAGTAAAGGAAGTTTGTGTAACTACTAGTATATTTGAGGACAAAGTACATTTTTTTTTAAAACTCTCAGAATACTTTCTGACCTGTGCTTTAGAACCATTTGAACAGTGTCACAATTTACTGTTACTGGCCAACCAGAATTCTTAACATCATTTTACATTACTATTATTACATATTACATTACTATAATTTGAGAAAAAGTATTAGCAATTTTACCTTCCTACTTTTTAAAAGATAAATAGATTGCAAGATTTCTACCATTACTTTATAAGAAGATCAAAAATGAATTGTAGTAGAAACTTGCAACCACATACTCACAGGGTTACCTTGAGAAAAGAAATTGCACATTCTTATTCTAGCAATAGTATGTGGAAATTTTAATATCTGGGCCTCTATTAATGAACTTCTAGAGCAATATGCTTATACCTTATATTGAGTAGAAGAAAAAAAGGAGAGGCAGAGGTTTTGCTCCTTCATGCCTCTGTTACCGTATTAGAACCTCAAAGAGTGGGTGAAAACAAATGCTTCTAAAATCATACCAGAGTTTATGATGGGAAGAAGTACATTTACAGTCTTTCATTGCAATAAAATAGTCCATCTTTCTCTACCTGTGGTGTTTTTTACATTCTTGCTCAAAAATTCTCAAAGTAGGCACATTTTCCTTTCAGGTTGGAAGGATTAAATATCTACACCATTAATACAGACATCCTATGGACATTGGATGGACCTTACTAAAATTTCTAGAGTTCTGCTGCATAACAATAAGTCAAAGGACTTTTTGGTTGGTCAACATACTTTTATGTGTTATCCAGCTAATGCGCCCTAGATCTATACAAATAAATAAGATATGACTATTAACCTTCTTGGAAACCATCCCCCAGAATGGTAAGACAGACTAGCCATCAGGCCCTGACTGCAGTGTCAAAGGTGCTCAGAGGCAGTCATCAAGCTAACTTGCTATCAGTTTGATAAACCCAGTTCTAACTTACTTACAAACCTGCTCTGCCCCTTCTTGTAGATTATTTGTTTCTTTCCTTGGGTTAGTTATTAGCTCATATGTATAATTTTCAATCTGACATTGGTATCATTTAATTGACTAAATCTTCAGACAAACTCATACTCGTTGAGTTGTTCAGTCCTTCCTGAAACACAGGAACACAGGAACACATCAGTTCACATTTAGTAACGGAGTAGTTGGGTCGATGAAGGAATTTGGTCATTCTTGCTTATTCTAAACATAGGATATATGGAGTGATAGTTTGGAAAGCACTAATATGATAAAATACTTGTAACATAAAAATGTGCTTGACTCATTTTGCATTATGACACACCACAATCTTAAGGTCTCAGACTCAGTGTTAATATTACTTTTAGGTGGGACCAGCAGTTAGCTTAATGGCTATGTTGCTGGACTCCCATGTAGTCGACCGTGGTTCAAATCCCAGACCCGGTGGCTTAAACTCACGCTGGGTGCGTGTGCGTGCGTGCCCAAGATCCAGAGTGAAAATGGAGGAGAAGGGATTGCGACGTAGCCATCCCCCCTGGGGGGTGATTTCTCACTTTCTGTCTCCCTGTCTCTCTGTCTTTCCAGTGAGTGTACTCGCCCTATAGCAAAAACCTCTCCAAAAAAGGAAAAAAATATATTACTTTTAGGTTAAATACCTGAAGCTGTAGATTAGTACCAAATTGACACCTTTGGAAATACTCAGCATTACTTTCTCAAATATCTATAGCAACCTTCTAGACATACATGCAATAAAGTAGTCTTTCTGTGCAGACATAAATATGTGGAAGACATACACCTCTCTGCTCTCACAGAGCCTGCCATATGCTTGAGAAGATTGCTGTGTATCACAAGTAACCGTCCAGGAAATAAAAAACAAAACAAAACAAAACAAAACAGCGCTGTGCAGAAAGCATAAAAGGAGGAGGAGGAAGGGAGTGGCCCTACTGTGTTGTCTTTGGGTGGAGGGTGGTTATTGGAGTGGAAATGCTAAGCCACACAGAAGTGGTGGCAGCCTAGCTGAATCATTAAGACTAGGTGGGATATAAAGGCTCCTGGGGTAGAGAATTCAAGAAGAACCTTGTGATCTAAGACATAGGTAAGCTGCTGTCCACTTATAATATGTTCTCAGCAATTAATACATTACATCGTATTCAAGATGGACCTGAGTTCCTTAAACATTTTTGTGTTCAAAACTAATTAAAGCTCCAATTAGTCAGAAACTTGAATACTTAAATACAGAATATTTAAATATCAAAATTCTGATCTGTAATACTACAAATATTTGCCGTGATTAGATGCGATTTTTGGAGGGGCATAGAACTTTGCTAGAGAGGGCGTTGCCTTAAAACTTTGAACAGGCATTTATTTGGAACATGTCATCCAGTCTATGCACAAGGACCAACAAAATCCCCAGGAACAATACTGGCCTGATTTATTTCTCAGAATGTGTTCTTTCAATAATTTAGGATGATAAAAGTGATCCCTTTTTAGTATTTATGCTATTTCTAGTGCCATAGTACTTGGTTCACTATTTTTGTTGGATATATGTTTATTTAAAAAAACCCATATCACTCAAACAGTACTTTCATCATAGAGGTGAAGAAAATTATATAAATGTTTCTTGCATATTTTCAAGATGGTTTTCAAGTATGTCAGTTTTACAGGTTTATACCTTTGTGATGTTTGGAAGCTCATAAAATATTAATGGCTCTACCTTCTCTTTTGTTGAAGAACCACAGGGAAGAAAGACCATTTAAATAGACCTTCAGTGAAAAGGGCTTACTTGTTTTATTCCATAGGGCATTTTGAGTTACAGGTTGTTGGTAACCACATGCTATCTCTAACACTGACTTTTTTGGTCTATTCCTAAGAATCATTGCTGTACAGTTGCATATGTGTTTCAGAAGCAACCAGCCTATCCATGGACCTCCTTCAGACATGATGAGACCAGCAGGCACCTTCAGGAATGAAGCACAGTTGGCAAAGTAGCTTTGTTATCTGGACTGCAGGCTTTTTGTTGCAATTATGGCAAAAGATTCAGCAGCTGGCTGTGAGAATGGAGATGGGAGCTCCTGACCCATAAATGTAGGTGGTTAGGCATCTAAAAGAGTCAGAGCTCTTATTTCTTGCACCATGTGAAAGCAAACCCTTATGCTTTTACATGCCTAGTATAGATTTCCTTTGCAATAAATATACTTTGTGAAGTCATAGGTAATAATTAAAAGAAGTAATGCAGATTTTCACACCATGCTATTCCCAAGTTACTGTCACAAAAGCCTCAGTAGCTATTACCATAAAGGTTGAACCAGGAAATAGAGTTGATACTGTATTAATAGTACATTAGTGGATTTTTCTCTCTTGAGAATGGTTGTGCTCTATGTTCTTATATACCCAGCTATACGTTGAAAGTATTATGTTAAGGAGTTACTTTTAGAGAAGTACATTGCATAAGGAAAGCTTTTTTTTCGTATCTTAAAATAAATTGCTACCATGCTTTGTATCTAAGATTAGATGACCTAAGATAATAAGGCAAACATTCTGTCTCTTAAACAAAGGTGATGAAAACTTCTTGTAAATTTAGTCTGCAATGTACCCTGATTTATTTTCTGCTATCATGGTAGTACATTTAAGAAGTTGTGCTTCCTAAGCTTGTTCCTATCATAGGCTTCTGTTCTGCAGGGAACAATATCTCAACACACCTGTAGGCCTAGGCTCACTATGGCACAGGGAATGGAAAGCTCTATTTTAAATCATACTTTATTTTCTTAACTTTTGTAATTCTTTCTGTAAATGTGTATCAAGTACTTGCTATGCTGTGTTTTCAGGCTGAGGAATTTATGTCTACTTTTCACTCTAGATTTGAGCTGGGAAGACCATCAGGGGTTTCATTCAGTACCCTATTTTATAGACGTGTGGGCCAGGCCCAGAGAAGTTAAGGTTCTCCAAGTTTCTTTTGGGCTTGGTGGCTCCCGTCCTATGGCAAAAACCAATGGAGGATTGTGGCATTGAGCCCGTTTTCCTCCAAGGTTGTTTTGCTAGCTCAAGACTAGGCTCTTTAATCCTTCTTTCCTAACTCTTACAACTCTGCCCTTGGGACCAGCAGGTAGTGTGGTGCTTAAGGCACCAGGCTCCCACATGGTCAACCATGGTTCAAGTTCTGGACCTGGTGGCTTTAAAATAACGTCAGGTGTTTGTGTGTGCATGCGCAAGATCCCAGGAGAAGCACAGAGAAGGCGTTGCGGTGTGGCAATCCCCTCTGTGGGGTGATTTCTCCCTCCCTCCCTCCCTTCCTCTTTCTCTCTCTCTCTCATGAGTGCATGTACCCTATGGCAAAAAAAAAAAAAAAAACCCTTAAAAACAAACAAACAAAAATCTCTGCCCTTCGCTATCAGTGAAGATGTTAATATAGAAGTTAAACTGCCCTTTTGTGAGTCAGATTTCTGAAACCTTGCAAATCCTGCAGTATGTGTATGGCATCTAGAAGCAGAAGATAGGTAAGTATGTGTACAGGTGAGCATCTCTAATCTGTAAATCTGAAATCCTCCAAAATCAAAACATTTGAATGGTGATAGGATGCCACAAGTAGAAAATTCCTCACATGGTTTCACGTGACAGATCTTAGTCCAAACGCTACAATACAAAAATAACATAGGATGTTACCATAAGACCATGTGTATTAGGTATATTTTGAAACGTAAATGAATTTTGCATTTAGACTTGTTGGGTCTCATTTTCAAGATAACTCATTTGCATACATGCAAGTATCTGAAAATATCTGACATCTGAAACACTTCTTTTCCAAGCATTTCAGGTAAGGGATTATCAATCTGAGACCTTTATTATGATATACTCAATATAATTTGCATCCTCTCATTTTCATTCATTAATAGTACAACCACTGAGGAAAACTGATTAAATACAGAAAGTATAAGTTAAACTTTACTTAGTAGTCTTCATGAAAAACATTTTTGAGTACTTTTGTCTCTGCCACTTTAGGTTGTGATTATATATAATCTTTTTCCTGAATGTTTTAAATATTCAAATTTGCTTTTAAAAATTTTGTTCTATGAATATATAGAAAAATCATTTACCAGACATAAAGTAAGACTCTTCTGATTTGATTTTATGCCATGTCAAATGAAAGCTGTTGTCTGGTTTTCATTGTATTAATAGTTGCTATGATTATGTCAGGGAGTCATAAAAACAGGATTTCTGCACACTTTTTTATTACAATTCTATCCCTCCGAGCTTTTGTAAAGGCAAAAAGCAAAGTCCAGGAACTGAGGTTGTCTCACCAAGGCTCAGTTTGGGGTGCTGATGGCTAAACGACTGCTCGACTGTCTTAGGTGGGCAGTTCGATTGCAAGCATCAGCTGAGCATCAGGGTCCTGTGTGCAGAGAGAAGTATGAAGCTACTTTTTCTCTTAGGGGCAGAGGATAGACAGATGTCATAGTTACTGATAAGTCAACTACTTCTGTCCTTTCTTTTCTTAGCAAAGGAAAATGCTCTCTTTCCTAATGGGAACTCAGAGGAGAGGACAACGCTGAACCCAATTGTGGGTGAGTAATTTTTTTTTCTTTTTTCCTTGGGTCTCTGATTGCAGTGATCTTCTCTCTTGCAAAGGTCTGAGTAAATACAGGCTTCTTATTGCATGTGCTCAGAGAAGTAGCTGATGGTAGAAGAGCACTTTTAAAAGAATTGACGAGACTGAAAGATGCTCGTTAGAGTGCACCTGGATCCTACCATGACATCACAAGCGGACCAGAAATGGCTCTCCAGAAAGCACGACAGCCTTTTTTCACCCCTTTCTTAACAATGAGACGTAGATTGGACTTGTTCTCTATTCAAGCATCCTTATGAGTAAATGTCTATTTTTACGGTAGAGCTGTGCTTTAAAAATAGCTCCAATCAGTGCGACTCTTTTCCCCCATATGTTAAAAAGTTATACATGAGTTAAAATATCTCAGATTGCTTAAATTCTTCCAAATGCAAGGCACATTCCTTTTTTTCCTATTTGGGGTGTGGGGTAGGAGGGGGGAACTGATTAAATACCAAATAAGGACTTTCTTTCTGGGTCTCTTTAACCCTGTATTTGTTCTTTGAGACTTTTTTTTAAGCAGTAGCAAGGCTTTTAAACCAAGATTTGAGATTTCTCACTGTTAAAAAATTCATTAATATTTGGCGGGTACAGTCTTCTTCCTGGAGCGATTGTTTATTTTTGTTGCTGAGAGCAATTAGCTAGAACAGTCACAGTTGCAGCTGTTAGATACTATAAGCTCCAGCAGAGATCACAAAAGGCCTTATGCACATTTCGAGTCTGTATTTGTATTGTTTTTAATAGGTGATTCTTCTGGAGTCTACTGTGTTAGCAAATTCGATTGGGTGATCCTGAGCCAAATCAAATGTACAGTGGGATCATCAGCATGCTGTGTTGATCAGAGTCACTTAAACACCTTGCTGCTTTGTGCAAGCCGGAATGGCTGTGGCTATATATGCAGAAAGAACATGTACCATTCCTTTCTCTCTGAGTCCTTCCCATGCAAACCTGATTGTGACTCATTCCAAAACATTATGCTGTTTTCTCAGGAATTGTATCCTTTGTGTTTACTTCTTGTTTGCTGCTTTTGACTTGTTGGAGCTTTTGTGGGATAATCTGTATGTGCTGCAAGTATGAGGAATAGATCCACAGATACAATCTGGTGCCCATTGATTTATGTCTTTTGGAAAGAGTAGCTGCTTAGAGAATCTTGGCTCCAGTTTAGTGCCTGATGCTTCAGAAACAGCAACTCAAATGAAGGAGTTGTTTCATTATTTTTCTAGTGTCTGTACTTTTGCCTTTGAATATCATTTTGGTAGAGGATATTTTGGTATAGGGTTATTTTTACGCCTATTTAATTTGGCTGCTTGAGAATTCACATGTCTTTACATACATTTTCTCATTTGAATCTCACAGTGACCTCTGAGGCAGGGCTTTCTGTATTGTCCCCACTCTGCAGACAAGTAGGTGGTCTCAGAGTTGGTAAGTAGCCAGCCACCTGCTTGCTTTTCTGTACTACAGCCATTTACTTTGTGTGAATCAGAAAATGCATATTTTGTATACTTTACTGCTGACTGAAGCAAGACGATGGACTCACCTGTGTTTTAAAGGCCTGTAGCGATTGCTCTACTGCACATGACTATGATGGCTTCTTGGTAGAGTGAAATTAGAATATGTTACCTCTAGTTCTTTGGGCAGGGAAATAATTTGGGAATCTTAGACAATTTGGGTAATTTTATTATAAGCACCAGTCTAAATACATCGAAAATTTGTTTCCTGTTAGCTAGCATACATTAGATAGATACCATTTAATTTCAATGAGATTTTTAAGACACTTATATGAAGATATTTTTAGAGCAGCCTTTCAAATGGTGATTGATTGACCAGATGGCGATCTATTTGATCAGCCAGCTTGGATCTATTACTAAGTTAAGTGAAATAGTTCTTCTTTAATCACATCACCCTTCGATAAACATTTTCATGTAGTGGGAGAGGTATGAACACTGGAAAATTTAAAATTCACCTAGTAATTTTATCTTTTTATCTTTTTTTTTTTTTTTTGAGGTTTTTGCTCTCGGGCACATGCTCTTGCCAGAAAGATAGACAGAGAGACAGAAAGTGAAAAGTCACCCCTTGGGGGGGGGTGTGGGCATGCCACAGTTCCTTCTCCTCCATTCTCCTCTCGGGATCTTGGGTACGCATGCCCACGCACCTGGTGTGAGTTTAGGGAACCAGGTAGGTCCAGGACTTGAACCGTGGTCAACTACATGGGAGTCCAGCGACGTAGCCATTTCACCATCTGCTAGTCCCATCACCTAGTAATTTTAATGAAATTTTCCGTAAATACTTTTCTCTCTTTTTGGGCATCCTTCTTTTTAAATGATACTGAAGTATTGTTTGAATTGATGACCAAAATTTTTAGGAAATTGAAGACTTTCTTCCCTTTTCCTTCTGAAGAAGGTTAAATAATTATATTAATATGAACTGTTAATGGATTTTTTTTTGTTTCTTCAAACTCCTTGAGACCTTTTCTTCCATTTTAACTGTTTTAGAAACCTAACCAATATATTCCAGGACAGAAAACACTTAGAATTGAAGTATCTTTATTAGACAAAGTTTTTTTTAATACTCAGACTTGATTATATAGGTACTTAAAAGCAATATGGTAACATTATCTTAGGTGAATTAGTTGGGAACCTAAAAGAGATTTGAGTAAGTGAGATAAGAAGGGTATAGAACCAAGAGTGAGGCTAGATAGGTTGGCCAGAGGTCTGAGCAGACAGACCAGGGCACCTCTGTGTACCTCTGCTTTCCATCACAATAAACCAGAAGCTCTGGGACAAAGGATGCTGACAAATTTGGAAGAAGTCCATCTGGAAGACTTCGAAATGAAATCGAATTTTGGATAGTGATGCTGAGATTTTGAAGACTAGGCAGCTTATATTAGCCTCAAAGGAAAACATCAAATCTTAGCTGAATCATACTTAAAAATATTGAAATAGTTGCAAGATGTTTTTTCTTCTTTAATGATTCTCAAGCTTCTAGGTATACATGATACTCCCCTTTGGAACTTGTTAATATGGATGCTTGATGCTCACCCCCGGTTTCTGATTTAGTGGCTCTAGTATGAGTTCCAGATAGGCTCCATAGTAGAGGGAGCTTTCTCAGCTAAGATAGACACATAGTAGGTTAGTGGTTGGAACTGGCTAAAGAACATACAGGAAACTGGAGATATTCTTACTCTGCCTTTTCCTACTCCTTTGTTATATCCTCTTCAGGGTTAAAGAAGCCTGTGGGTGTCTGTTTCTTCCCTAGTCTTCACCCAGAGAACTTAACATTTCACTGCATGTTTTGTGTGAAACACCATGCCAAACACTTGTTATGAATAGTATCTCACTTAACATCCTAAGAGAGGTACTCTAATAATCTGTTTTTTTTTTTTTCTTTTTTCTTTTTAAGAGAGGTTTTTGTGTAGGGTATATGCACTCCCCAGAGAAAAGAGAGACAAAAAGCGAGAAATCACCCCTCAGGGGGATGGGCCACACTGCAATCCTTTCTCCATTCTTCTGTCAGGTTTTTTGGCATGCATGCACACACACACATGCCAGCTGTGAGTTTTAAGCTGCCAGGTCTAGGACTTGAATCATTGTTGACTACGTTGGAGTCCAGTGATATAACCATTACATAATCTACCAGTCCCCCGATAATTTGCTTTTGCAGAAGCAAAAAAACTTTGCCCAGGAACTACAACTCGTAAATTGTTGAGCAAGGGTCATAAGTTTGTCACCTGAGTTCATGACCTGCAGTCCTAATGGCACATTACATTGTAATGGTCAGTTGTGGGTGACCATGATAGAAATACTTGATTTTATCCTTAAATAATTTGGGTGGTTTCATTTTGCTGTTGAACAGACATCTCTTGGAAAAGAGTCCAGCTGGGTCACCCCGCAGCACCAGGGGCTCCGGGGTAGAGTCTGTACTACATAGATACATGTGTTCATCTTTTAACCTTAGAGACTGGAAAATTCCTTGGGGTGGGTCTGTCTGTGATTCCACTTTGTATGCCTTTCTTCCTACGCCCACCACAGTGCGTTGTACATCTCGAGTGCTCCGAATGTGGTAGAATACATAAAAGGGAAGAATTGAGTCTGAGGAACTGCCACCTGCTCAGGATTGGGTATGAGACCAGGTTCATCCGGAACTTATTTTCCCCATCAGGAAGTTAATGCAGATAGTATCCATGCTGCTTTGGCATTTCAGGTTTGCTGGTTCATTATGAGGTTGAATCAAGATGGAAAAATAATACCTAAATTGCAACACAAGAACATAATGAAAAATAGGGGAAAGGGATTACTATGTTTCAGGAACCTATGTAAATCTGCACACCCAATGAATTAATTCCACATTCTCTTTATATTCTCCTCAAATAAGAAAATTTTCCAAGTGTGAACATTTCTCACATAAGGTTAGAGACAATGAATAGTTAATTTAAAATATCCATTTTCTTGGGCAGTATGTAAATTGGTCCTATGACTGAATTGTGTCTAAGTGCATGTCCGTAAAGATAACATAAGGAAAATTTGATATGCATTTGGTACTGTATCTCAGGGGTCCCCAGTGACTATTTGAGTATATATTTATACTTATAAGTCTTTGTAACTTGTCCCTTTCTTGGTGGAAATATTAGCGAACTACTAGCCCAAAAGTAATTTGGTCTCTCTGAATTTACTCTTAATAATAGAATATTCCCTGTTTAGAATTTATGGCTTGACTAATGACATTTCTTGATCAAATCCAAGTACCTAAAGATAAGCATTCAAAAATACTGACATAAACGGAACCAGCAGTTAGCATAATGGCTATGTTGCTGGCATCCTACGTAGTCGACCGCAGTTCGCATCCCAGACCCGGTAGCTTAAAACTCATGCCGGGCACGTGTGCATGTGTGCCCAAGATCCCGAGAGGAGAATGGAGAAGAAGGGATTGCGGCGTGACCATACCCCCTGGGGGGTAATTTCTCGC